AGAGAGAGAGAGAGAAACAGAAACAGCTTGTTCAGGACACATGTTTTTCAGAGACATTGACAGATGGATTCACAATATTTTTATATAGGTATCAGGGCTACTTTGTTGGTAATCAGTTCAAATGGAAGTTTTGTATCTCTGAGTCAAACTCTTTCCATCTCCATGCTAGCAGTCCTGCTACAACAGTGTCTGAACTGGGTCCAGTGTGCTCCTTGCTTGCACTGCTTATGCTGGACAATTTACCTCTATGTTCAGCCAGTTGTGTACTTGACCCAGCCTCTGTTATAGGACTTAATTATAGCTATGCTATATCCACATGAAAATAGAATGTTCTTTAATCTTTTCTGGTTTGGTGACCTAACATCACACCTGCAATTTGAAAAGTCATTTTATTACTGTTAGCACATGAAATTCTGTTTCTTTGGAGAGTAGAGAAAGACTCAAATCTTTGCCTTCCCATGGCCCTTTCTGTCATTCTTTTTCTCTTTATAAGTAGATGTGATTCCATTAGTAGCGATGCTAATTTAAGACCAATTGTTTTCCTAATGAGATTTTCTTTATTCCACAGTATATTTTATCCTAGAGGATTTGCTTTGAGATGATTACATTGTAAATGTAAAAATAAAAATCATTTGATGATGCATAGTATATCTACCTCCAGTGTGGACCATCTGTTCGCTAATACAGAAAAGGCAGTAATATTGGACCACTCTTAAATAATCTTTATGAAAAGGCAATAAGAGGCTTTTGAATTTTGATGGTTTCCTTGCTCGTGTGTGTCTCAGACACTTAAATCCTTTGTTACACTGAATCTCATCATCTTATAGTTGGTCCCCACCCCCACCTAATGGCTTTCTCTATTTTGCCCCTAGAGGGCTCAGAAATACACGTAACTAACTTAGTGTGAAAGTACTTAAAATTATTTATTATCTTATCTCTTAATTCCCTAGATCTCATTTTGACTTTTAGGATCACCTTAATCAAAGAAGGATAGCAGTGTGTTTTCAGAGAGCCCAGGGTTTGAATATTAGTGAATGCCACTTGCTAGCTGTGTGATAGGACATCTCAATCTCTATAAGCCTTGATTTTCTTACCTGTAAGGTTGGGGTATTAGTTGTAGCAGTCTTACCCACTTTCGTGAAAAATAAACGAGATGACACGTCGAGAATGTTTATCATGGTGTTTGGCACATAATAAATACTGGCGTTTCTTGTTTTGGAAAAGATTTTAGATAAAGCTGGGTTTGAAACTTTCTGCTAATTATTATTTTTTGACCTTGGGCAGGAGATTCTTTGAGCTTCACTAAGGATAGCAATGCTTGCCATCTGAGTGAGAATTAAGCATAGTTTTTTAGAGATAGACCTTTTTTGTCTTTTAGAGCAATTTTAGGCTCACACAAAGTGAGTAGAAGACGTTATTTTTTTTTTTAAAGTCTCAGTCCAAGATTTGTACCCCAAAGGCCACTAATGCTAAATTAATCAATGCCATTACTATTATAAAATAAAAGGACAGAAAAGTTCCTGGCTTCAGCATATATGTATTTTTATGTAAATACTCAAGTTCTCAAAATTTGAGAACTTTACTCCATAATGAAGAACCCTATCACTTACATTGGAGACCTTTCTAAAATAATGAGTTTTAAGCTGAATGTTTTACAGTTCAGAGGAATTAGATCCATCAAAGACCTCTTGAATTGGTAATAGCCTCCCAAGAAAAAGAACTTTCTAATCATTTTACTGATCTGATTCATGTTCTTGCTAGAGTGGGAATATGAGCAAGAGGGCACACAGATGATGGTAATGGTACAGGCTCCACTAAATCTCATTCTGACAAGTGCTAAGGTCTTTTTGAATTGAAGTGGATTGAAAGTATCATTGGCTAAGTATAGAGTATTCTGAGATAATTTTATCCAAATGTGATATGTTTGTTACTACTTATAATACTTGACATTAATGAGGGTTGCACAGTATTCGATACCATTCTAAAAGTGCGAGAAAACCCCTGATCATTTCTTTCCCAGCTTAGCTGGTTTTGCACTTCCAGTGTCTTTGCTGATACCTGGGTTAGGTCCAGCCCTTGTAAGTAGTAAGTTAGAAGGTAGAGGTTTAGGGAGGGCTGTTGTTTGTTTGTTTTGTTTTTCTCTAGGATGAGATAGGAATTTGTGTCAGTCAGCATGTGATATTCCTTACTTTTCAAGTATTCAAACATACGTTTTGAGAAATAATAGTAGGCATTAATGTTATTTGACAGCATTGATTGGGAGCTGTCCTGGTGTTCTTTGCAGTAACACATTTCTCAGTTGACTAGTGTGTAGTAAAATGATAAGCTCTCTTTGAGTCTTAGAGATTAGAGGTTAGTTGGTAAGGAGATCCCACCTTTCTAATCTGTGTGTCTGAGAAAGCCCAAAAAGAAAATAAAGTGCATATAAAGAGATGAGGTCAAAGGAGGAATTCCAAAAAGTGACTTCAGTTAAAATGAGAAAAGGAACGGGTTGTTGTTGAGTGAATCACCTTGCAGGGAGCTTTTGCACCTGATAGCAAGGAGTAAAGCTCACACTTTTCCTTTTTCTTTCTGCATGACTCTTGAGTACTCCTAAGACCTCCTCTGAGTAATTTAGTTTCACCCCTGTTTTCTTCCCATGTGCATTCTGATCCTCACCAGCTTGGTATTTATAGCTGTGATGTATATCTCTGACTATTGCCTTTTGAAATGTCCTCCTTGGTGTTCCCTCAAATTGTTTGGCACCTGGTCTATTGCTATAGGCTCCGTCCTGGTCCTTCTGGTCTTCCTTGCTCCCCTACCAGCCATTCCCACACTGTCTCCAGTGATTCATCTAAAACATGAACCGTGATAGGCTCCGCCTCGAACTATTTGAACGGTTTCTCATTGCCATAGAGCCATAAGCTCTGACCTTAACGTGGTTTATAAGGATCACACTGGACTCGCCTGGCCTCTCTCTATTTCTCTGTGTTCTCTCTCTAAACAGCTTAATGACTTCTCCCAGCTCCCTTTTCTCTGTCCTGTTGGAAGGTAAACACCTATTCTGCCTCAACTTTACTTTTCTGGATGACCTTGAAAATTCTTTCCTATTTTTGAAGAGAGCTCAAATGTTACCTCCTCTTTCATCATTTTGCCTCCTATACTTTTTAAAGTTACTTTCTCTTAATTAAAGTTAGAAATTACATTGTATTGTATATCATTTGTACTTCCTTCCATACCTTCTTCTTCTAGATCTTTACCTTTTAAGGTAGGACCTGTGGCCTACTTACTGTGTTTCCCCGAAAATAAGACCTACCCCCAAAATAAGCCCTAGCAGGATTTCTATGCATTTGTTAAATATACGCCCTACCCCGATAATAAGACCTGGTGATGCAGATACGCTGCATAGCCATGCCATGCATTTCGGCGCAGAGTGGTAAGGAAGCCTGGAATACCTTTTATCTGCTGCAGCTCCTTTCTCCCAGCTGTTTGCACTTGTGCAGATGCGTGTGTGGTAATCGCGGTGACAGGCATCCTATTGTGCACGTGTGAATGGCTAGGGGAAAGGTGTTTACGCATCACTAGCGCCAGCCCCACCAACAAGGTCGGCTCCACCTGTCAGGTTCCAGAAGAAGATGACTTAACTGTATTTGAATAAATGCAGATTGTTGTATTATACTTAATAAAAACAAAACACCCCTGAAAATAAGCCCTACTGTGTCTTCTTGAGAAAAAATAAATGTAAGACAGTGTCTTATTTTGGGGGAAACACGGTATGAACCTAGCATAATTGTTAGCAAAGAATAGATATTTTAAAAATATATTGAATCATGCATAAATATGATGCATGAACTCTTAAATATTTTTAAATGTTATAGGAATAAAGCAGAACTTAAAAATGATAGTGGCCTTAGCAAGTTGCTTTGGTTGTTTAGAGCTCCATTTCAAATAGGTTGAAAATGGATTCCTTATTAAAGTTAATTATGAATTTCACTCAAATTAACCATTCTTCTTTAAAAAAACAATGAAAAATCCCCTAAACTGAACTTAATTTCTGAGACAAAGATTTCCAGTAGATGGCATTATAAGACTATTTTTCTTACTATCTCTTTTGTCAATGGAATTAAAATTTGTTTCTTTTTGATTGCTATGGCTTGTGGAAATGATTACATCTGTATAAAATTGTCTTACCGACAGATTAAGCAACCAGAAAATCTCCCTTAACACATCTCTAGTACTTTGGGGCCTATTATTTTCCCCAGATAACTAGTCAAGCCACTACAGTAACCTCCCTGCCTCCCTTTCTCATTCTTCCATTCATCTGAAAATATATTTACAGAAAATCTATTGTGGTAGGCATTAGGCTAGTGTCTGATGATGAGACAGAGGTAGATTTATTTCAAGCTGAGCCTTCCTTCATTTTCACACCTGACCTTGCATATTAGGACAGATAACGAGAAATGTATGCTCCTGAGTCTAAGAGTTGGGGTCTAGAGGAGGAATTGATAATTCATCAGCTACCTCTGACCTTTGGTACAGTACCTAATAAGTCTCTGCCTTAGTTTCCTTCACTGTGTAAAGGGCATAGTAATTAAACCTATCTCATAGGGATGCTGTGATGGTTACAGGAGTGAATATTGTGAAACATTTAGAACACTGTCTGGCTCAGTAGATGTTAGCCATTATTATTTTTATTATGATTTGTTATTATATCAAAGTAGTATTACCACAATTGCTTTTGCTCAAGAGCTGGGTAGGCAGCATGAATTGTGCTCTTCAAAGACCCGTGAATCCCTGCTGATAAGTTATCAGCCACTATCTCTGATCTGCCTGAAAAGCCAAAGATTTTAAAACTCCAGAAAAAGAAATGTTTATGATTGTGGTTTTATTAACTCTTTAGAGGTGATATATTTCATTTTAAGGGATACTTGTCATGTTTGTGGTGTTGCTGTAAATATTGTTAGCTAAGAGCCAACCTTGTCCAGGTGTCTGGTGGAGGCTGGGCCCACTGTGTTTCTGTCATTAAAATCCACAGTCGTGGTCGAGCTTCATGTACAGTGTTGTTAAGAGCTTAAGTAAGGTGAAACCCTCCCATGTGGTTCGTGGCCTTCTGGATCAGGTAGCAGACGTGTGCAGTATGAGCCCACGGGGAGGTATTGAGAAACTGACCCCCGCTTCTTATTGCAGATTCCACTGTGTAAAGTAATTAGATTCAACATAGACTACACCATCCATTTCATTGAAGAGATGATGCCTGAGGTAAGGGAAAAGATTGTTTAACAGCTTGTTGTGGTTTTTTTTTTGTTTGTTTGTTTATTTCACACTTACATTTTAAAGCATTGAACGTGACTTTTGCCATTGGAATTACTCCAAGTATCATGATCATTTTCAAAAGGGTCAATGAAATGTAGTTCTAGTGTCAAAATTAAAATCTAGGTCATTTTTCAACTCGTTGACCTATTTTTTAAACCCTTTCTCCTGGTCTTGCATTTGCTGATATTAACTTTACATCTGCTTCTAGTTTGTTTTACGTTGGGGACAGATTTTGGTTACTGGCCATTATCAGAGAGGAAATTGGAATAGTGAAACTGCATCTGATAGCTGTTGGAATAATCTTATTTATCTCCAATGACAAGATCAATGCTTGGTTCATTTTTCTTCACATATATTTACATATTTCTCCTAATTATTTTTCGTTGCGGATGCTCAGCGGCAGATTTATCTAAATATATGCAAGAGATTTAAAACTCCAAAGGAAGATTAATGTGAATCTCAGAATGATTCATAGCTTGATCTTGAATTTAGTGATGTCAACAAATCACAGTAAGAAATAACAACTAGACAGCAAACAAACTTGTGCACTTAACATTGTGTTGGAGATGGCGTAGATTTCCGGAGCTTCTGGCTTCTGCGGACCCTGTATAATAGGACAGCTCTGTCACGGGCAGGGAGGATGGAGGGGGATCGATGGGCAGGACGTGCATGTGGAGTTGGCACCTATTTCATTCTGAGCAAGTCTTGTTCATCCTACCTGCCTTTCAAAAACGGCTGATGCACAAGAGCTGCCTCTTCATCCTCCTGCTTAGAAGGGCTTTTTTGCTTCCTTTTGGATTTTAAGGTCATAAGCCTTCATTTGCTATTGTAAAAGTTTATGACTTCTGGCGTGATATCATGCCGGGTGATATATGAACCCCAAGCAGAACAAGTGGAAGGAAGAATTATGAGACAGATTCCACTTGCATATATATCATCTGTTTAGCTTGTTTACAGGAATAAATTTGGTATAAAGTTTTACAGTTTTTCTCAGTCCTTGATTTAGTTTCATCAAGACTTTTAACTTTTAGGATACAAATGACCTCTGTCTTTGGGTAACTCTGTGACAGCGAGGCTGGATGTGTGGGGTGGGGTGGGGGAAGGCTTATTCAAGCCCAGAGGTGTGTACATGTAATGTGAATTAACAAAAAGTCCCCAGGAGATTTTGATACACTTTAAAACTGGGTTAGAAAAATATGACATAACTGAAACTAGTTTTTAAATTTCACGTAATTTTATCTGTACACTGAAAAGAGCTAACTTGACATTTTTGTAGGCATCCTAATGGCGTTTTTGTCTGAAATTTAGTAAGCTGTTGTAGGACAGTTACCAACCTTTTTAGGAAATTGCACAGTTTTAGTAAAGTTTCAGCAGACAACCTTTTAAGATACCTGGACTCAAATAATTTGAAAGTTCAGTTCATATATATTTGCAGATCTATAGTAATTTGATTTTGGTTTATTTTTCAGAATTTTTGTGTGAAAGGGCTTGAACTCTTTTCACTGTTCCTATTCAGAGATATTTTGGAATTATATGACTGGAATCTTAAAGGTAAATAATGGTTTTAAAGAAAAGAGTAGTGCCTATAGAAGATGTTATGTTATATGTGAAAACTCTAATAAAAATGGTGGGCACATAGTTGAAATTCCTTTTGATTTTTGAACACCCCGGGAAAACTGTTATTCACAGAGATGCTTGCTATCGTTTGACATGAGTAAGTTCTTACGGGTTTTACTTTGTACAGTTTGGTGGTGCCTGCTAAGATGATACCAGTTATTATAAGTAGCTACCCTGATTTATGTCTATTAGGAAAAAAATCATTAGTTGACATTTTAAGTCTAGTGAACTTTACCATAGAAAATTTTCTAAAATGACAATTTATTATAACAGAAAACTTCAGTTAGGCATTAACACACACGTGTGTGAGCACAGGTCTAGAGTGATAGATTCAAAGACTTGATACCTGGTTCTTGGATAATAATAGGTTACTTTTTTGGACATGTTTGTGTTTCAGCAAGCAGTGACTTATTTATTTACTTATTTATTTTTTTGGCGGGGGCTGGGTTTGAACCTGTTACCTCTAGCATATGGGGCCGGCACCCTACTCCTCTGAGCCACAGGCGCCGCCCTACAGTTATTTATTTTTAAAGCAATATGCTGATGAATGGTTTTCAAAGCAATATATTTATCCAAATTTTTTAGCATATTGATTAAAATGGGGTGGAATTCACACACAAGCACACTGTATCATTTAATAGTTCAATTATAATACAAACTTTGATGCTTTTGAACTTTTGAAGAATAGTTTCATTATACATAGTTGCTCCTGGGGGCTTCCCCCTCCGACTCCCAGTGGTCTCCCTGCGGTCTCAGCTGGGTGCCTGTGGCAGTTACAGTGATGGATTTAGAAGAGCAGGAGAGAAATGGTGGTGTTTTCTATGTCCCTACTTCTGGCGGTAGTTTTTGTGGTTATCATATCCTAGAAGATAAGTTGCAATGTTTGCTTTTAAGGCTGTTTGATCGTTTTCTTTCTCTTTCACTTGTTTGCTTCAGGTCCTTTGTTCGAAGATAGTCCTCCCTGCTGCCCAAGATTTCATTTCATGCCACGTTTTGTAAGATTTCTTCCAGGTAAATCTTTTGGTTTGTCAGTGACCTGGTGAGATGGTGCATCTGAAAATAAGCCTGCTATTCTCCTAACTTTCTGATCACAGTTACTTTTATTTTTTTTTTTTTTTTTTTTTTAGTTTTTTGGCCGGGGCCGGGTTTGAACCCGCCACCTCTGGTATATGGGGCCGGACCCCTACTCCTTTAAGCCAGAGGTGCTGCCCCAGTCACTGTTAATTTTTTACTGCTCAGGTTGGGCATGGAGATGTAAACTTATACATGCTGATTTATGACTGTGTAATTTATGGTAGCCCCCAAATTAGATGAGAATGTAAGAACTGATATAAATTTTAAAAAATATCCTTGTTAAAATATCATGCAAATGTTAAAATTAACATGGAAAAGTGCATATGGCTTAAAAAATGTGCATGACTAATTGGAAAACAATTAGTGTAAAATTTTATATACAATATCATTATAACTATGCTAAAAATACTGTAATAATAGTTGTATTAAGGTGGTAGGATTACTGGGACTTTTTATTTTTGACATGTGTGGTTTAATTCATTTTACAGTGTAAAAAAATAATAGTTTATTCTCTCACTACATTAAAGCATATAAATAAATATATGATTTAGTTTTTTAAAGAAATGTCTTAATTGTTTTCTAATTATTTTTAAGAATTCAGCTATAAGATTTAGTACATTGTATTTAGTGTTTTTAAAAATAGATTTTTAATGAAATCTTCTTTGTTGGCAAACTCTTTCTTGTTTCTTTTTTCTTTTTTTTTTTTTTTGAGACAGAGTCTCATTTTGTTGCCCTCGGTAGAGTGCTGTGACATCACAGTTCACAGAAACCTCAAACTCCTGAGTTCAGGCGATTCTCTTGCCTCAGCCCTCCAAGTAGCTGGGTCCACAGGTGCCCTTCACAACACCCAGCTATTTTTGTTGTTGTTGTTGTTGCTGTTGTTATTGTTGTTTAGCAGGCCCAGGCCAGGTTTGAACCTGCTAAGTGTTGGGGTATGTGGCTGGCTCTGTAACCACTGTGCTATGGGTGCCGAGACCAAACTCTTCTTTAGAGGCTTCTGCAACCCTCGTCCTGTTCCATTTTTCTTCATGATTTTCTAGGCAGTTACGTCCTTTATCAAGCACTGGGGAACTTGGCTTCCAAGTTCCTGGCTTAGCCAAGTTCTCTTACCAGCCTTGTCAACTTCACTTGCCATTCTATCCTGAGCTGTCCAATTTCTGAACTTTTTCTACTGTAATGATGTCATCATCTAGCCACCTAGTCTCAAGATAAAACCTTGGTCGTTGCAGCCACCCCGAATGAACTTGGACTCTAACTCTGGTGTCTTGCTTCCCGCTGCTGTCCTTCAATCTTTCCAGCCTCGTGGTGCCCTTCTTGTCTTAGCCTCCACTTCAGTGTGCCCCCTTCTGCCTGTGCACAGCCAGGCTGCTCTGCACTCTGCACTGTGCCCGGTGCTCTCACTCACCGTCAGCTCCAGCTGCCTCTTGTGTGATCACCACCGTCCATGTAAATGGCATCATTCCCATCGCTTACCTTGTTGTTTCCTATATGTAGGCCACTCGGCATCACTGGAGAAGAAAACGTAGCTGCTGTACGGGTCTGCAGCACGCAGTCTTGGCTGGGGAGTTTCTCTTCGTGTAATCTTTTTGCCCAATTCTCATAGTATTTTCAAAAATGTAGGCTGATGTTCATGCTCGTGTCTTCCTTGGCTTGGGAGGCCTTGCCTCCCTCGTGCCTGAGAACACTCCTTTGAGCCTGTCAGACTCTGGCGTCCTCAAGTGCCCTTGGTCTAGTCACAGCCACGCTTTGCTGCAGTGGCAGACTCCTCTAGCCTGTCCCAGCCCACAGCAGCTGCTGCTGTGAAGGCCTCCAAGGCCAAATCCAGAGGACGTGTCGCCTCTTCTGAATGGGATGCCGCGCTCCTGACTTTGTCTGGCTCCAGGCTCCCCCTACTGTCTGTCTGTGTGATTCCTCCTACTGTCTGTCTGGCTCCAGGCTCCCCTTACTGTCTGTCTGTCTGATTCCTCCTACTGTCTGTCT